GACAAAGAAGCCAAACACGCTCACTGGAGGAAAGATAGCCTCTTTAATAAATGGTGCTGGAAAAATTGGGCTTCAACTTGCCAAAGATTAAATCCACCAGGTAGTTTTAGGAGTTTGGTCAGAGTGCCGTGGTTCGACAAGGGTACCAGCCCAGGATTTTAGTTTATCTGGCGCAGTACTTTGTGCACGGTTGTGGAGTGCTCCTTGTAGCAGGCATTTAGTTAATTTGGCAAGGGCCTGGCAAACATGATTCCATTTTGATTCTGACAATTCTTCCATCCCCCCATAAGCCAGTAGGAGCTGTTGTGGCCCAGGAAGAGGAGAGGGATGCCTGAGTCTCTGGCAGCTGAACAGAAGACAGACCCAGTGCTTTACATTTTTGATCCCTTAAATTTTAAACAAGCCCAAGCAGGCAGCATGAGTATTGCCTCTAGCTGGATGAGAAAACCAAGGCTTAGGGCTGTGGGACAGGGGGTGCTAGACCCAGACTGCCCGAGTCCAGAGCCTGGACTTTGAACTTGTTCGCTGTGTACTGATTTGTGGTATAGTGCACTCTCACACAAAGAGTGAATGCAAGGGAGCACACAACAAACACAGTTTAGAGATGAGTTGCTTTATTTGGGAGACCTCACCTACTGGTGTAGCTGCTGCTGTTAACCCGAAAGTGGACATAGAGGGGAACAGGGGATGGAGCTGGGAGATTTAGGTTGGGGGAGGGACAAAAGTAGTGGGAGTGGGGGACTCACTGGGTGGCAAGGGATCCCAGATATTGGGCCTCTCAACAACTGGGGGCCTTCCCATGGCACATCAAATTGGGATAGAACTGGTACTTTTTATTGTAGCTTTTCAGGTTTTGTGCAAAACAGGAGGCAGCAGCTTTATCACATTCACACAGCTGTTTCTGACAGGATCCCTGGTTTGCTGAAATTAGAAGAAAGCAATCACCAGATGGGATGTGTTTATTATTCCATGGGTTCTTGTGAGGAAGAAACTCTTCATCAAGTACCCGCACCAGATAGTGCTGATCAATGGGAGGCAGAATTCCTGCCTTCAGGGCAACGGAGACAGAGCACCAAATGCCTGAACTCTGCCTCACACTCCATGGGAATACCTCTCTCAAAGTCCTCAGGGTACCAAGGAGCCCTGTGTGACATCCTCAAGGTGGTCTCCACTGGTTAACTGGCCATTAGTGTACCAAACAACCCAGAGTGAGTCCTCTGTACTGCATGTCTACTTCTGTCATTCTCTTGCTAAATAGCTACTACTACTACTACTACTACTACTACTACTACTACTACTACTGCTACTACTACGTTAGGACAAAATCTACAGACACCCTGTCCTGGAAGGCCTTGATCCAGCCCCTTCCTTGTCTCAGCATTCTGCCTGTCCTCACACTTCCCCTGGTGGGATAGTATGGTCTGCGGTCCCCTCAGGTCCTCCTCTGGGAATGCCCCAAGCCTTCTGTTCCCTGCCTCTCTGCACACTCTCTGGGACTCAGCACAGATGTCACCACTCTGAGGCTCTTCCTTGAGCCTGAGGTGTATTAAGGGTCTGTCTTTTGCTTCCTTCCTTTTGTAGCCTTCCCCACCCGGTCCTCTCAGTTTCCTCACCTCCCACTCAACCTTGAGCTTCTTGAGACAGAGATAGTGTTTCTTTGTGGCTCTATCTCTGGTGCCCAGTGTGGTGCCTGGCACAGTGGGCACTCAGTATATGCAGAAAGGAAACATGATGGTGTCACAGGGTTATTTCTTACCTTTGCAGGTGATTGAGCTCCCTTTTATGGTAAAATCATACTTCAGAAGTTTTGTCCCGCACTTACGATTCACCAGACGTTTGTAGCAACAATCATGCTTGAGACAGCACCTGGAAGGAGGACCTCCTGTTGGGGCTGTCTTCTCACAGCGTTAGGGGTCTTGATATCCCATCATCCATTCTCCTCTTACATTGGACAGAGACCCAGTGACTTTGGGGTGGTCTAGAGCACAACATGGTGGCTGCTTTTCCAGGTAGGACTTCCTGGGATCTTGGAGCCCCTGGGAAACAGTTCTATCCTTGCAACTCTGAGCCCTGTCAGCACCAGAAATGAGGAGAGGGCAGGGAAGACTGGGGTATTCTTACCGATCTGTTGCATCCTTGGGGGTTCCTTTGCCATCCACGCCACAGTGACAGCCGTAGGCACCATAACTTGCAAGTGCATTCTTTCCTGTCTTGCTCTTGATCATCTCTGCGAATTGTGTCAAACTGCCATAGATTTGAGGCAAGCCTGGAAGGGAAAGGCCTAGTGATGGGGTGTGGAGCACTCCTCTCTGTTCCTTCCCACAAATGTCTTTTCTGCTCCTCCCATTGATAGAAGACTGTTCCAGTGAGAAGGAAAAGTGGGGGTCAGGATGCTTCTCTCCCTGTGCTCCCCTGTGTTCAGAGATAAGGGCCAGCTCTTACCAGAGACCACAATCAACGCCAGCAGCAGAAGGGGCTTCATGCTGAGAGCTCTGTGAAGGACAAGTACACACTCACTGGCCTGAATTTCTCTCCCACTTGGTCTCATCTTCTGTACTGATGCTTACTCTATTGGCCAACTCTAAACCCTGGAGCATAGACGTGTGCCCTTCTCTGCAGGTCACAATCAGGGTGAACACCTCTGTCACACATGAGGGTACACAGAGTGACTTCAACAATGCTTGCACATACACCACCTCCTCACCCTTCCTAGTTCTGTAGAATGGTGTTGCAGACATGCAGGCCTCAGACCTTTGGAGACCTCACATGATACAGCAATGAGAGCTCCCTTGCTCCTCATCAGACTGAGAATCTTAGGAGGTTGGAAGGAGGTTCATTCCAAAGTGCTGTTCAGAGGTCAGAGGTTTTGCCCTTCTATTAGGCATTTCTTGCACGTTCCCATACTGAATTCAGATCCCCAATATTTTTCTCTTGAACTAAAGCAACAACCTGTCTTTGCAAGCCCGTCCAACCTCATGCCATGTGCAAATGCGTACTCTCCCACTCACCCCCCACAAGCATACTTGCACATGGATGCTGTGTATACTCCCCACTCCTTCACACAGCCTTATGTTCAGCACTCTTACAAACCCACACAGCAACACTTGCACACTCATCATCTTTTGTACATGCCAATTGTGCTCAGCCATGCTGGTGCATACATGGGGACACACACACACACACACACACACGCAAACACATAACACAGTTGCTCCCAGAGACAGCAAATGAGCAGGAATTCTAGTGCTCTTGACTGGGCATTAAATGGTATTTACCTCTCTGAGGATGCTGGAATTGATGCTGCCAAGTGACTGTCTTATTTTACCTGAACTCCAGCTGCTCTTAAATAGCTGCTTCCTCTGGGAGGTTGGCGTTAATGGTCATGTGGTGAGGCATAGGTGTGGTCGTTTGTTGTACTCAAAGATTGGCCCACTCATTCTCTTGGGTACTCACCTTTCTTCCCAGATCAGCTGGCGTGACAGAGATGAGCCTTGGAAAATATTTTTTATTTATTTATTTTTTATTAGTTACATGTTTGTGAAGCCCTGGTAAATCTTTCATGTGATGGGCTGCTGCCAGAATACATTTTAGGTCATTTGGGAGACTTTCCCACAGCTTAGCTCCTGTCCAGGTAAATTCTCATAACCAGATTTGCATGCTACCACCAATCAGTCACCTCCCTGAAACCACTTCCACAGTGGACAAGGGCTGTGGGCTCTGACAGACTGGGGACTCATCTGCACAGCAAATGGGCCATTTACTAAGCAAGGGTAGCTCCTTTCTTCTGCTAAATGTAGCATTTGGGGATAGGGAAGAGCAGTTAGTGCTACTCATTCACTGGATCCATCAGTCGTTCATTCACAGGAAGCACATACTAAGCTTCTACAAAGCTCCTGTGCAAACTACTGGGAGGTGATGAGGACTGTGCCCTACTCCTGCCCTTGGGACCCCCACAGCCCATCAAGGAAAGGTTAGATGGGCAGATTCCATTTCTTGCAACTAGGGCAAGTCCTTCCATCTGTTCTTTTTACTCTTCATTTTCTTCCTCCTCTGTCATTCCTTTCAATTTTCTAATTCTAAGGGAAGGATTAGAATCCTAAGGAATGTCCTTGCCATTCTTGCCAAACCTCTGCTTCCTCCTTAGCCCCGGGCTTTAGCTGTTGGAATATGGGTCAGGTAATGCTTTTTTTCTTCCAGCTTCAGGGATGCAGTATCTTACATTCAGTTCATAAAATACATATCTTCTTTCTTGCTCACCAACCTGTGGTGAGAGTGGACTAAAGTAAACATCATGATGCTTGTGAACACTTCGTCTGTGCCTCAGTCTCTAGTCCCTCACAGATGTGCAGCCCTGAGTTTGCTCCATACATGGGCATCAATGTGAATGGTCACTCCAAGCTGGCACTAGAGAAAACCAGGTGTGACTCCTGGCCTTAGTGTACTCCCATGGTGGATTTTGAAGGTGGGGGCAGTCTGTGCGCTGAGCCATGCGTTGAGGTCAGCTGTCCTGAAATATACTGCCACTGTTAGTGTAGAAAATAAAGTTCTGTTATATTAAGTCCCTGATAGTTGAGATTGGTAATTATCTCAATAGTATCTAGTTTATCCTAAAAGCCACTAGGGTGGATTTCCTCTTGAAATTGTAGTACGCTTTATATGTTAGACCCCTGTTATTGGTTGAATTGTTTCTGCTCCTCTTCCTACTTTCTATGTTTAAGTCTCAGAATGTGACTTTGATGGAAATAAGGCCATTGCAGGTGTAATTACATTACAATGAATTCATTAGGTTGGACCTTAGATCTACATGACTGGTATCTTTACAACAAAGAAACCCTTGGCTTTGGAGAATACCGAGAGAGAATAGGCACATAGGGAGAATACCATGTGAAGACAAAGACAGAGATCAGAGAGAGGCTTGCACAAGCTAATGTGCCCAAGATTGTCAGAAACTACCAGCAGGTAGGAGAGAGGCATGGAGCAGATTCTCCAGCTCAGCCCTCGAAAAAACCCAACCAACTTTGATCTCTGATTCCAGAACTGTGGAACAATAAACTTATTTTCTAAGCCACACAGTTGAGGGACCTTTGTTGTCAGTTCAAAGCCATAGCAAACAATAGTTTCCAAAGATTTCTGGGAGCCCCTGCACCCCTCTTCTCAATCCAGGATCCACTCCTGCTGCAGCTTATTTTAATCCTGTATCAGGTTCAGAAGTCTCATGCCCTGCAGTAGATCATGACCTTTTGTTCAACACTTCAGCTTGTGGAGAACTAGTTACTACAATAGGCAGAAAACCTCCCCCTCCACATATCCCTGTGGACCCAGTATCAGGTCCAGGCTTTAGGTGAAGAAACATTCCAATGTGCAAAGACTCTGGTGATATCAGACAGTGCCTCTATTATTTAGAACAGTGAAGTTCAAAATAAAATTTAGGTGGAAGTATAAAGAGTTTCCTCTATCTAAAATACACAACCCCTTCTCCATTTACCTCCTGCAGCAGTGTGGCACATCTGCTATGATCAATGAATCAACATTGACACATCACAATTAAAGAAAGTCCTTAGTTTACTTAAGGGCTCACTCTAATTGTTATATGGCTTAGGAAAACTGTTTAATGACATAGATCCATTCCTATAATACAATACAGAGTAATTCATTGCTTTAAAAACCCATTTCATCCTTCCCTTTTGCCAATTGTTGGCTACTAGAGATCTTTTTACTGCCTCTATAATTTTGCCTTTTCCAGATGTCATGTAGTTGGAATATTTTGGGTTTTTTTTCTTTTTTTTGGTGCTGGGGATCAAACTCAGGTCCTTGTGCTTGCAAGGCAGGTGGCAGAACCACTGAGCTAAATCCCCAGCCCTGTAGTTGGAATCTTTTTTGTTGTTGTTGTTAAATTCTTTTATTGGTACATTTTAGATATACAACACAATTACATTTCTCACTGGGAACTTGTACCTTTACATGATGCATCTTGGTTCTTATTTTTTCCCCATTCCTAGCCCTCCTTTCACCCCCTCCACCCTTCCCTATTTACAAAGACTTTATTTCCATTTTTTCCATTTCTCATCATTTTTCCTTTCCCTTCTTTCCTTTCCCCTGC